GTGTGATCCCTTCTCCGTTATCACACTATAGGCTCTTGATCCTTATTAGACCAACCACCACCATTTGGTAAACTATGCACCGCTAAGCTCCTGATCTTGGCTCTCACGATTCTTTATCTTTGCGCATAACGTTTGGACCATTTGTAATTCAGATATTTGTCCTTTGTTTATTGTGATTTGTGTCATCACAAACCACATTTTTGTTCTTGTCCTTTCATAAAAAAATGTTTGTTGTGATTTGTGCTATCACAGTTTTTTCTTTGTTTATTGTGATTTGTGCTAGCCCACACCAAATTTTTGTCCTTGTCCTTTCATAGAAAAAAATTGTTTGTTGTGATTTGTGCTAACACACCTTGTCCTCTGTTTATTGTGATTTATGCTAGCACACACCACATTTTTGTCCTTGTCTTCTTATAGAAAAAAATTATTACTTGTGATTTGTGCCGACATATTTCAGTATTTGTCTCTGTGTGTTGTATTGGATAAATTGTAGTTTGTTAATTATGATTTGTGCAAGCCCACACCAATTTTTTGACCTTGTCCTTTCATAGAAAAAATTGTTTCTTGTGATTTATGCTAACACACCTTTTGCTTTGTTTATTGTGATTTGTGCATGCCCACACCAAATTTTTATCCTTGTCCTTTCATGGAAAAAATTGTTATTTGTGATTTGTGCCAACACATTTAAGCTATTTGTCTTTGTCATAGTATAGAAAATTTTGTCTATGTTGCTTCTAATTGTCATTATGTGCCACTTTTGAAGGTTATGGGAACTCCAAGTTACATGTGCCCTGAACTTTTTACTGACATTCTATATGGTCCCTTGGTAAGACTGTATACATTAGTTTTCTATTCTTCTCAACATTGGGTGTCTGTCATCTTGGCTAAACTCCTGCAATGTCCATTCTCTAGCTACTACATCTATGAGATGACTACTTTTAGGCCTGCATTCGAAGCATTTGTGAGTGCATATACTCTGGTTCATTGTAAGTCATTGGCCAATATACAGTTCTGTAAATTGATTCATGCATTTTGAGTAAGTCATTGGCCAATACAAATCATTGCAAGTCATTGGCTAATGTACAGTTATAGTGCTCTGTCCATGTTAATATCCCCTGCTTATGAAAACAAAACAAAATATATTAAGTTAAATAATTGCAATTAGCAATAATATAAATTGCAAGTATTGACAACTGCAATTGTAGTTCTGAGCATATGCAATGTTTGAAAATTTAATTACCTCATGAGTATAATTGGCACTTACAATGTTTGAAGCAATTTTGTAACAACTTTCAATGTTAATTTTCGAATTCCTTGTACAACCAAGGCATGTCAAAAGACAATTAATTATCTTACAACTTAGTAGTTCATATATAATTTAATGCCACTAGGTCTGACCAAATATACATGTAGCAGTTGTACAGTTGTACAATTCTATCTATTGCGCACGACACCAATACATGTAGCAGTTGTACAATTCTATTTGTTGACTCAAGCTTGAACCCTTTTCGGTATTTTTTTCCTGTTCAAGTTACTGGATTATGCCTCTCATGCATTCTGTAGCCCTGCTTCTTTGGTCTATGATTTTATTCGTGTGGCACATATGTCATTGACTAATTCCATTGCCAAGTGTTACCATATAGTTGCAGCAAATATGTATCAACAAAAAAAATATAGAGCCGATTATTATACTCCTATAGAAAAAAGAGATGTTTCATAAAATTGGGACACACATGGGCAGTTGTATATTATAAAAAATATTGGCAGGCTTTTGGGCCGTGTAACCTATTATAAAAAGTATCTTTGTTGTAGTAGTATATAAATTCTTTGTTGTCTAGCAACTCATTTGTGATTTGTGATTTGTGCCAACACACACCTCTTTTTTGTCCTTGTCCTTTCATATGAAAAAATTGTCTCTTGTGATTTGTACTAAAACATGTTGAAATCTATTTTTTACGATTTGTTATGATACTATTATATGCTGACCTGGGAGCTTGGTTCCACTTGTTGTTGTCCTGTAGTATGCTTAGGAATTCCCTCCAAAAGACAAATCGATTGGTTTATAGGACAATTTTATTCCCCAGCTCTAAATTGGTTGAGTATCATGAATATAGGTTTCTCTGACATGGAAGTTGGTTTCACATGATTGTTGACTGGGCTTGTTTTGCTTATATGTGCCAACAAACCAATGAATTCGTAACTTGGGACTCTAAGAGCTACCATTGTAAAGCTACTGATATCTTTGTTTATGTCTGCTGATAGTTCTCTGCTTTAACAGATTCATACTTTGTCCATTCTGTGGTCCCTGGAATTTTGTGGTGATCCCAAATACTACTAGCATTGAATATGTTCATGTTTGTCTCATCGAATTATTGTCACGACTTTGGTAATTTTCTTCATGCTTTTGCAGGTTTGTAGGAAAGGTTCTATTGCTGCTCCTTTCTAGTATCATGATTCATGAGGGACCAAGGCTACAATGTGGGCAGTTATTCCAGGTGTAATCTTAACTCTCCTCCATCAGCTTCGTTAATCGTTTGCAATGAGGGACCAAGGCTACAATTGTGTGTAATCTTAATATAACTATAGTAGAGGCTCAAACCCCTCATGTTTCTTAAAGAAAAGAAAAGAACAAATCTACACGAACAAATTAAAGTATGATTTCATACATGAATCGACACAGGTGACGTGAGAGTCGTGCCTGCCATACCAAATGTCAGAGTCACGTGATGTCCATTAACTGAACTGCACTTGCTCACCACCTAGCTAGACACTTCTAATAAGATGTAACCAGCTAACTGAACTGAACAAACAACTAACAAGCACATGCATGCCTAGAGTTTATTTAGCACAAAATACTAGTAAGCTTGAAATATTAGTGAGCTTGAAATTTCCTATTTGTTTCAGCATATTTGTTCAGCTACTTTATCAAATGAATAAGGTTGTTTGTTCTTATTCATCAGTGTGATACATGTGCCTAGGTCATCATGTACTTATAATCTTTGAATTTGTGAACTTGGACACATAGAAATGTAAGTCCCTAGTTATATATTTGTGAATCCCTTCATACTTCTAATAACATGGAATCCCATTTTTATCTGAACATCCTATGTTAACTGTTCCATTGTGAAAAAATCAACTGAGTACTCTTATATTGGTTATTTTATGCACTTTGTGCAGCTACCGTAGCAACAGAATTTCTCTCTTCGATGGCATTGAGGAGGGTGGAATCAGAGCAACATCCTATTCTTCCCATGAGATAGATGAGCAAGAAAACGATCGAGCTATTGATGGACTATAAGATCGTGTCAGCATTCTCAGGTTACATTTTAGTTTAGTGCTGTCAAGTTTAATAAAGTTAGATAGAATGCTCTAGTGTAACAAATTTTGGTGCACATATATGTTCCCTAGTAACTGTCGATATGCCATGTTCTATGAAGAATCACAACATGCGACAATTGTTCCTCGGAGCTGAACATTGTTGGACAGATCACTTGCTCCTTTCTTAGACAAACAGCCTTGTTTCTTGTTTCTTTCATAGGCCTAGTTATCCGTCTAGGTGTCTCTCTCATTTACATAATTGCAATCACCAATAATGTAAATTGCAACTTTTGGGGACCGCAATTTATAGTTTTGAGCATATACAATATGCTGCCTGTAAGGACTATTATGTTGTTAATGGCATTCCGTTTAACCTATTTTCAGTGTCTCTATCATGGAAATTTGCTAACATAGTATTATGGAAATTAATAACACCATACATTGCTGTGTACAAGGAAACTGAAATGGTGTTTCAGTGTCAACTACATCGTATTTGTCTCTTCTTCTTAATTGAAACCACAACTAACTCACAAGTTGACCAAAAAAAACAGTGAACATGTACAGTATAATTGTATTAGCAGCAAGTAAAAGTTGCACTATGTCAAATATGCAATTTCCATATTTGTGTTTTGTAATTTATTTATAATAGGAATATAGCAAATGTATAACAGATATGTTTATAATTTTAGTTGAGGATTAGTTAAGGATTGTTGAGTGGTGTGGCTGCACAATTACTTTTAGAAACTGGTCCAGAAAATTCAATGTGTGTGTGTGTGATTTCAGCTAGCTACATGTGTGTGTGATCTCATGCTCTCTGTTTTGCACTATATTCTCTGTGTTTCTAGCCTTTTAGACCACATCACAACCCCCCAAGTGCTAGATCTACTCCTTGTGCACAGTGAGCAACCAAAGCCACGCCCTGCTATTAGAGCAAGCACAAGCAGCAGTCCATCTTTGCCATCCTGACTTTGTTTATAGCTCCCATGATTACAGATTCCATAGATCTATGATCTCCTAGTCTTTCATCTCAGCTACTAATTTGTTCATTGTTGCTTCTTCAGAGTAATTGTTTACTAGAGAAATTGATTCAAAAGATTGGTGTACTAACCTTGGCTGATGAGGTATGAATCAGACTCGTAGTGCTTGTTCTTTAAATTTCCTTTGCAATCTGATTTCTGTCCCTGTCCCCTGCTCTACATGAGCAGAGCAGACCTTTTCCCTATGCAGAGCAGATCTATTTTATTTGCTTTGCTTCTTTCCCAAGTCTTATCTGTTTTATTCCTATGGATTTTCTGTTGTTGAGCTATTTTTCTAGGCTACTGCATGTTTCATGGGCTACTTTTTTATTTTAGTTATTGGGCTCTTCTATTTTAGTCTTTAGTTGCACAGAAATTACAACAGATCTGCTCTGCGTGGGCCTTCTTTTCAAATCAAGTGTTTTACAGGCAACCAACAACCATGTGCTAGCTTGCTAAAACACACCATTTTTGCTCTGTTGGAAATCATGTGTTCTGCAGGCAGCCAACAACCATGTGCTAGCTTGTGCTAAAACACACGTTTTTTTCACTGTTACAAATTGTATATTTTGCAGCCAGAAAACAACTATGTGCTAGCTTTTGCTAAAACACACGGTTGTACAGTAGACAGACTCAAAAAAACATCATTCGGTGATCGCCTAGCTGTCACTGTATGTGTACCCAGATCCCCTCGCTGCGAATGCACCCATTGATGACGAACAACATGTAGTACCCCGGTGGTGCCAACACTGCCGTCGACGGCATCGTCACGAAAGCCACGTAGGCATCATCCGGCACCCGTACGCCAGGAGGTGCCTCGAGCCGTGCCTTGTTCACCTGCACCTGGAGGAACAGTTGTCGCTGGTTCTGTGTAAACGAGTGCATCGTGAACGACGGCGCTACCATTGTGACCGACACCACGGAGCGGGCGGGGATCCTACACAGTAGGTCCAGAGAACCCCCGTACGTCACAGTTGTCGGCCCTCCTTTGGGCGATGGATCGACCATGAATGGACGGAGGTCCTTGGAGACGTCGAGGTAGTACGGCGAGAAGGCCTTGAGGCTTAGGTCGGTGGGGAACTTGATGTTGGTGAAGTTGTAGTAGTGGTGCGGTGGCTGCCGCCCACGAGCACGCGATCGTGGGGTGCCCGTCGGCATCTTCTCCTTGAACTGGCCGGTCCGGTTCACGAAAGGAAGGTCCGGCCGGTAGATGACGGGCGCTGTGGATGGCATGTTGGCCGCCTCCCACCCGCCGAGCCTGTTCGTGGCACCGTTGATGATGGCCACCTCGCCGTTGGGCAGCAAGATCTATTAGATTGATCTCCACCAGTTGGCCCAATGGCCAATTGGGCCCTTGGTCCGCGCCCTGAACAGAGGTGCTCAACCGTTCTCCTAGCTGATGGGCCCTCATTGCACAGCGCTATAAAGAGGAAGGTGGGGGCCGAGGCGCAAGGTATGAGATTTACTGCAGCTACTAGCGCCTCACCGACGTCCTAACCCTAGTCCGATCGAGAGGGCGCGCTGTGAGCGACGGAAAGCGCCACCGCCTTCGCCGCCGCCACTGGATCATGTCTCCACTGCACAGCTACCTCTACTCCAACACTCGAGGCCACATCACTGCAGTGCCATGGCCGTGACTGCGCTTAGCAAGGTACATCGACAAGGTATTCTCTAAGTCAAGTTTTACCCATTGATCTACGCCTAGATAATCCTATAAAGCCTATCTATGGTATCAGAGCTGGGTTTCTAGTGTGTAGATCTAGAAGGACGCGTTGTAAGCGATGGAAAGTTCACACCGTCTTCACCGTCACCACTGGTCCACGCCTACGCTACTGCTATCGTCGATGACCTAGCGGGCGCCTACACGGCTTCTCCTACACCGACACGTCGCGGTCACCTTGTTGGCGGCACCATGGCCGTGACTGCACTCGACGAAGTACATTACCAAGTCTACTTATCTAAGTTAAGAATTTCCCCACTGATCTGCACCTAGAGGTCCTACAAGTCTATCAATGGTAACACGCAATAGAGATGGGCCACGGACTATTTCCCTAGGCTGGGCTGAATGAACAATAAATGATGATTTAAGTTATCTTTTTTTAGAAGCACATTCTGATGAATTTTGTCAAGTTTTGATGTTAAATCTCTGTCAAAATTTGAACCAATGGAATAATTTTTCAGAGAGTAGATGAGTACAGTAAAATGCTTCTGAAAAGTAGATAAATCATTCTTTCATGTTTCTACTGCAAAGTTTAATGTTTATTATCTTCTAATTAAATTCGAACCAATAGAAGAATTTAATTTGAAGAACAGTTATATTTATTCAGTAAATTATAGTTATGTTTATCCTCTAATTAAATTAGAAACAACAGGAAAATTTAAATTAGAGGAGTAGTCCGATTTATTTAAGTTTAATTATGATATTATTATTTTTCTGTTCAACGTTGATGATAACAATATTATAATTTTATTTACGAGTTTAAGTTTGATGTTTAAATCTCTGATAAATTTTACACCAACGTGGTCAATTTTTTAGAGAGTAGATAAAGACCAAGAAATGCTCCTGAACTAATAGAATGTATTTTATTCTCATGTTTCCGCTGCAATGATGTTGATTATCTTCTAATTAAATTCGAACCAATAGGAAAATTTAATTTTAAAGAGTAGTTATATGTCTTTCAAGTTAATTTATAAGTTTTATGCATTAATTCTATTTTTTGCCCAACTGTGATGTGGAATTGATGCAGAAGCACCTTGTATGCTTTAATTTTAACCGATGAGATCACTCGGCTGCAAGTCAACGGACTGCAATACTGGGCTATGTGAATGAAAAGGCTTGAGTTAAGCTAGTTCAGGACTGTTTTTTTAGTTTACTAATTTTCTGATTAAATTGGAACCAATGGAAAGATTTAATTAAAAAATAAAGTATAAGTGAATGTTTTAGTCGTCATGACTAAGTTTTCGTTACAGTAAATAGTATATATTTTTTCATTATTATGATAAGAGTTGCAAAAAGTAACATGTATGTCTAATTTGACCAACGTTGGATTAAGCATACGTGTTTGTATATAGATTTATCCTGCATGGGGAGAAATTTGGCATAGTATTTATGCTAGTCAATCCTGCTTGACGGGAGAACTTTTGTGATGACTCATATGTTTTTGTATCCCGCATAGCGAGAGAAGTTTGGGTAGCTCTTATGTTATCCTAGTATTGACCATGGCACAATAGAAATACATCGTCATGCAGCCTATTCGCTTGGTCGCATTTGGCTTATAACCCATGGTTTAACAGCTAACGAACAGTATTTTTCTCTCATACCGAACCAGCCAACAGTAGTTTCAACCACGGCTTATAAGCCAAACAAGTCCAAACAAATACGGCGATGGTCAATACTAACCAAAAGATAAGAAAAGATGCAAGCATGACTTACAAAAGTACTGCTAACAAAAGATCTCGTTGAGTTCTTGAAGTGGAATGAGAAAAGTGTACTCCTATACGGATCAAGAAATAACTTTATTTGTATGACATAATCATGTGAATGAAGTAAATCATAAGTGTCTCCTCGTTCACAGATTTTCTGAATAGTTCTCAAAATTATGGCAGTAAAGTTCATGCCATATTTCGAGGAGGAGAATTGTGAGATCAATTAAGAGTAAGAGCAAAGATCAATTAAGAAAGATATAATTAAGAAAGATGAGATAAAGATGTTGATGAATGTGACTACTCTTCATTAAGAGTGAGATAAGATGTTGATGAATGTGACCATCGGTCATAATAACAATACCCCTAAGCAGAGAAATAGCTAAATTTCTGAACATTTTATAGTTTCAATAGGAAGATAGCGTAGTCAGCCAGAATTCATACTGGACGAGCCTTAAAGATGTTAAGGTGGTGCTTCAAGCGCCATATGAGGTTTTAACAGATTAAACCCAAATAAGAAATTTAAAGATACACTATCTTTATAGAAGATGGGATGATCTGAGGGAGTATGGTATGTAGAGACATATGACTTGAAGAGAAGTGGGACTACGTGTCCGCTTTAGTGATTTAAAAACAACGAATTTTTCAATACCTGTTGATGTTGTATGACTTACACAACACCTATTGTTAGCTCTTTGAAGAAGATGAATAATGTAAACAAGGATCTTATGATAAAGGAGCCTGTAGAATCAATTGCCTCTTGGCAATGAAGAGCAACAACAGCTCCACATAAAAAGTGCTAGTAGTTGAGGCCCCAGAAGGTCTAAAGAATTAGTAAATCAGTTTTTTGATGACTATAAAGTCTATGTTAGTGAAGAAATTCAAATGGATGGTGATCCCACTTCATTTGAAGAAGCCATGAGAAGTGTTTACTCGTTTGAATGGCAAGAAGCTATGAAAGTTGAAATGAATTCGACGAATACCAACGATGTTTGGGACTTAGAAAAAATTCCTAATGGAGCCAAAATAGTAGGTTGTAAAAGGGTCTACAAGACAGAATATGACTCCAAAGAGAATGTGAAAAGATATAAAGCATGACTTATAGCAAAAGGCTTTACACAAAGAGAATGAATAGATTACGATCAGAGTTTTCTCTTCAATCTCATGCAAGAATTCTTTTAGAATCATAATGGTGTTATTGGCACATTACGATTTAGAGTTACATCAGATGGATGTATAGACGACATTCCTCAATGGGGATTTATATGAAAACGGTTACATGGCACAACCTAAAGGTTTTGTCGTAGAAGAAAAAGAATGTATAGGATGTCGCCTGTAGAAATCCATTTATGGGTTAAAACAAGTCTCTAGACAGTAGTATTTGAAGTTGATGAAACGATAAGAAATTTGGGTTTAAAGAAAATGGGAAGAACAATAGCGTTTATACGAAGTTCAAGAATGAAAAATTCTTTTTCCACATCCTGTGTATAGATGACATCCTACTCACTAGTAGTAATGTTAATCTGCCATTGGAGAAGAAAAAGTCTTTGTCCTCAAGTTTCAACATGAATGATCTTGGTGAAGCCTTATTGGTTATAGGAATTAAAATTCACCGAGATAGATGAAAAGGGGTATTAGGATTATCGCAAAGACATACTTAAAAAAGATTCTAAAGAAATAAAGTATGCATGCGAGTAAACCTACGCCTGCTTCTATAGTAAAGGGTAATAGATTTGGGAACTTTCAGTGTTCTAGGAACCGATATGAGATCGATCAAATAAACATGGTTTCATATGCTTCAGCTGTTAGAAGCTTAATGAATGTACAAGTAAGAACTTATCTTGACGTAGCTTACGTATTCGGGATATTTTGGTAGAAGTCCAGTCCAGATATAGATCACTGGAATGGAGTTAAGAATGTCCTGCAATTTTTACAAAGTATCATAGGCCTCATGCTAAGTAAGAAAGAACAAGTACTCTCAAATAGTTGTGGGTACAAATGTTAAGTTTTGGCGAGATGTGTAGTGAAATCCACAGTAGTTGCTAACATTCGCAGTTGGAGTATTATTGTGGAAAAGCTCCAATAAAACAGTTGTGGTGTCATCAATAATGCATACCAAAGTATAGCTTGTCATGAGGCCTCAGGAACAGGCAAACGTGGTAAAGGGAATATGTACCTGGATTTAACAATGATAGTCAACAACAATAACCATTTTAAGTAGTTAACTCCTAAGATAATAAGTCAAGTGTGCTTTCAAACACATTGACATTAAGTTATATGTTGTAAAGGAGAAAATCCAGAATCATTTTGAAAGCATCGAGCATATAAGTACCAAGCAAGGACTTACGGATCCGCTTACCAAAGGCTAACCACTCAGTGCGTTCAGAGAACACACAGTCGACATGGGTTTACGGGAAAGCCTATGATTTATGGATACTAAGGGCCTAGTTGAGAATCTGTTTTCAAAACAGAGAGGTGCAATATAGCTGTTTAATCTAATGGCAACTGACCGTGATGATGAGGCACACTCTATGCACTGATCTGCGATGGAATGGGAAAAGATAAAGTAAGTTAAATTTAAGTCATAAGGTGAGATCAAGGGGGAGAATGTTAGATTAATCTCCACTAGTTGACCCAACGGCCAATTGGGCCCTTGATCCGTGCTCTGATCGGGGGCGCCCAGCCGTTCTCCTGACTGATTGGCCCTCGTTGCGCAGCGCTATAAAGAGGAAGGTGGGGGCCGGGACGCAAGGTACGAGGTTTACCGCAGCCGCCAGTGCCCCACCGATGTCCTAACCCTAGTTTGATCG